GCCCTATATTCTTTTTTTTTTTTTTTTTTTGTTGGCTGAAAGTTTAATTTTTATCATTTCTAGCAGAAAATGGTTGGTTGTCAGGTTTTTAGTTTTTTGCTGGAAAGTCAACGTTTTCTGACACCCTTTTCCTCCCATTTTCCAACCAGCTCTAATTGCAAGTTCCAGATTTTTAAAACCTGGGCTTCCTTCTGTGTTTACAATTTAAGAGCACAAGTTTGAATCCAGAATTATATGCAAGTGCAAAGTAGGTCATTTTAATGCCCAAGTACCTGGTATGAGGGCACTATCAGGTAGTTGTATATCTAAATGAGCTCATTTACAAAACTGCAGGTGTAAAGAGGGAGTCCTGATTAAGGTCCCATTCAAAATCAAGGCCCAAGTTGGCTTAACCATAGTTACAGTGTTTCCTTCACAATTAACATTTTGGGGTCAGTTGTCCATTTTGATCCACTCCTGTATATTTCTGAAAAGGAGACTATGTAAGAGGTGTTCTGAGCTGAAATGCTCAGATTCTGATGTTTCCTCTTTCCAGCATGACTTTCACATTTCTGCTATGGATGCAGAAAAAACCTTGGACAGTCAATTTTATCAAGATTCTTGTCCCTGTGAGAGAAAACACTAATATTGTAGCTAGCAGCTCTTTGAAACTGATGAACAACGTTAGTGGGGAGGCACATGGTCATCTCTGAGGAGACCAGACCTGAGAATCTTTCCTTTTATCACTAAGTTGGCATCCTTTTCTGCTGCCTTAGCCCTCACGCCATGAATTCGCAATAAAACATAAGAGCCTTCCTGTTAAATAAACCTGTATATATATGATCTTCATCTTCTTATCTATGCAGCCTTTTCTTACTCAGTGCAGATCCCTACATGATCCACTGTGGTTAATGCAACAGGAACGTGCTATGTAAAGTATAATCTACAGAATGTATCCACAAGAATAATGCAAAAAGAAATTTCTGTGACTGAGATTATTGCTTTCCAAAACCAAAGCTTGTACCTGGACCCAGATCAGAGACACCAGGCTCCATGCAACATCCTAACCCAGACGCGTAGGCTCGGGAAGCAACATATCCCAAAGGCAAAGCCAACCCTGGGAGCTAAAGATACCTTTCCCCTAGAGACAAGGAGGAGGAGGTAGTATCTTTTGTTTGACCAACTTCTGTTGGTGAGAGAGACAATTTTTCAAGCCTTCACAGAGCTCTTCTTCTGGTCTGGGAAAAGTATTCTGAGCACCACAGCTAAATGCAAGATGGAACAGATTGTTTAGCATAAGTAGTTAGCACATATTCTAAGGGACTGTTCAAGGCAGAGTGGCCCATTAAGATCTATGCAATCATAGGGGAAAAAAGGGAGATTAGTGTGTTACAGATTGCCATAATAAATCATAATTCCAGTGTCTCTGTTCAGCCCATGATTTTTAGTGTCTAACAAAGTTATGAATTTAGCTCCCAGGCTTGTCTTTTGAAAGTGTTGCTCAGGTTTCCTGTGAGGATGAGAACTGATAGGTGAGATATAGAGTGATTGCTTTGTGAAAAGTGTTCACCCACAGGCGATAGGGTGTTTTTGTCTTTTATCATTTTCCCATGTGAGTTAATTCGAGAGCATAATGATTGTCTCATTTCACCCACATAGGTATTTTGGGGACATTCAGAATCTAAACTGCCTAGCCCAAGCTTCTTTTTATAGTCCAGTTAAATTTTGAAATGTATTCTTTGCAAAGTAAACCCAGACAAAATTCCTCTCCCCTTCTGGTGTGTAGACACTATAGTGTCTTCCTCATCCTCTGGTCAATTTGCTTTTTTTATTGGCCTAATCACTTTGTTTACCTTAGATGTAAATGTACTTCTGTTGTCTTCTGGCCTTAGAATCTAGGAATTAACTTTGCAGTTAACCTCATTTTCCATAATGAGCTGACTCGGAATTCTGAATCCGAATGCCTCAGAATTTTAGACCATTTTTAGCCAATCTCTAGCTAATATCATCTTGAAATTTTCCCATTTTACAGAGACAACTCTGCTCACTTATCACATTTTCTGTCTTTCTTTTCCTCCATTTATTTAAAACAAGCATAAAAACA